AATCCAATCTAATAGGACGTCTTTTAAGAGTGGAGATAGGGAAGCACGTAAAATTATCCGCAGCAACTCATTTAGAGCTAGGGTGTGTAAACTGTGGACGTCCCTTCCTGGAGAAGTCATAGCTCCTCCTTCCGATCCCTCCAAAAGAAGATTACGAGCAAACTTTTAGTCCAGTGACAAAAAAGCCTTGTTTGAGAAGACACCCATCGTCTTTCGAACCACACCAGTACTACAGCTTTATGACGCTCCACCCGTGCACTTGGTTTTGGTACATTTGTCCACGGTGCCACCTTAGACCGCACCTAGCTTCAGGCTTACTTGGAGTAACCGGGAAGCGTCCGAAAACTAGAAAGCAGGTATCCGTCCAAACCACTATCACAGAGGGGACTCGCTGTTCGGAGGATTTCGGGAATAGCCTACTGAAGGTCAGAAACCCGAGAGGTTCCGAGCCGAACAAAACACCTACACCGGCGGCAACTGCGCCCACGTCAAGCCTTGGAGCTGCACCAGAGGCAGCAACCAGCGGACAACATAAGGAATGGGTCAGTGTGGAGAAAAAAGCTCAAATCACCTGTGAAAATGCACCCATGGGATCGGATAATGTTGGCATCGCTGACGGATCTAGCTCTGTCATCCTGTTTAACGTTCCTGTCTGTGATGATAACCCTCTAGAGGATAAGGACAAGCTTAACAGGCAGCAGTGGAACTCCCTCTGTGACATGTCAGGTCTGGATGCTCTCGAGGCAAAACTGTATCGACTGCACAAAGGCACCCACTCAGCTGCAGGGAGGCGTTCACCGATGGGAGTGACTCTAGGCTCAACCAGACACGCTGAAAAGTTCCTCTTACTGTCACACACCCTGGTCATCAACACATCGTCCAACGTTAGAGCTAGACCTGACCGATCATGGGTGTCAAGAAAGACGTCTCAAGAAGCAACCGGTCCAATAAACCTACAACCACGGTCGTACATGGAATACCTGAAAGGGTGACCGGCACCCTGATGAAAAGTGCGCCCGTGATGTTTGACGATGGGGGTGATTATCGGCTTGGATGGAGCTGAGTGAAGTTGCAGCCACGGCAATTAGCAGACCGCCAAGCCCCTCACATCTGACAACCATGACCTCGTCCAGACTAACGGCTGTCAACTTCGGATCCCTAGAAGTACTCACCGGAGTGCTAGAGTCGTGGCACAAAGTCGGGAACGCCATAAGCGGTAATGTTCGCTGCTGTGAAAGCGGGCCGAGAACACTGCGGCAACAACAAACAGCAGTTACTCCCTATGCTGAGGCCACCATAACCCTTAACAGAAATGTTGAGAGTCAGACCGGTAACCTCCACCCAACACCGAGTGCGCCAATCGACCCGGGAGGAAAATTAACCGGACCATTTCCATTTGAGCCGGCCAGTCAACAAAAACCCTCACATCCAAACCTGTGCCACTCAACCCGAGGCATCTCACGTCGCGAAATGCACCTCCAAGCGTCTTTACAGCAACGTGACAGGACTCCGAAGCAAAATGTCAGAGCTCCGAACCCTCTGTTTCGACCTCGTCCAGAAAATCGTGATCCTGACAGAAACATGGTCGTCACCAGACATACGTGGCACCAAAGTTAACGTAGACGACATGATTCTGTTCAGGAGCGACAGAGAACGGGGAGGGGTGGCAATATACGTCAACAGTTGGTTCAGAAGTGAACAAACCACTAACGCAGTACCAACAGAGCTTCCAGACTCTATCTAGTGTCGTTCCATGGTCAGGCACACCAAATTCCTAGTTGGCGGAATCTATAGGTCCCCTAATAGCGACTTGGAACACAGCCAAACACCACTCCAAGTAATGTCCACAGTGTCAACTTATAGGGTACGACCAGATTTTAATAGCTGGCTACTTCAACGTTCCAACCCTCAACCTGGAGCAAGGTGGTGCGTCTTTGAGCCGGAGGTTCGATTGTAACCTGCCAAATGCCATCCAAATGGCTGGACCGCGAGGGAAAATCAGCAACAACACCCGCTGGGGGTCAAATGGTAAACCATCTTGGCTGGATTAACTACTGGCTAGTGACCACCTGGTTGAAAGCGTTCAGATACAAACTCCTCTTGGAAGCAGCGATCACGCTACTGCACTGTTTCTACCTGGCAATCAGTGAAAGGTTATCGTGGGGGGGACCTCGCCCTTACCTCTCTCACAACAGGGCAAACTACGAAAGCATTAACAAAAGCCCATCAAGAGCTCCGTGACCAGCGGATCGGTGTTTCCTATCGGTCGATCAGCACTGGGAACTAGTAAAAGGTATCATTAAGGCGGCCATCCTGTAAAACGCCCCCTTGGTGGTAACAACAACCAGAAAGCGAATTTCATGGCTAAAACGGGGCACTGAGCGCCTTCTGAAAGCCGAGAGACGGGCATGGCCCACATGGAGACTCTCCAGAGAACAAGACGATCACGACGCATACATGACTCTACGGAATTAAAGCAGCATAAGGGTGGGGGAAGACAGGAGGTCACCCCAGTCCAACCTCGCCAGAAGGCTTGAGGTAAACCCCGAAAACCCATGCTGATTCGTGGCAAAGAGGAAGTCGACAAGCCAAGGAGCGTGTATCATAAAGGGTCCAAACGGGGAAAACCATTCTGGACGGGAGATCGCCGAAATGTTGGGCACCACATTTGACGCACGGCTCGACACTCCATTAGGAAAGTGTGCGCACCAACTGCCCGAAAAGCCCCCAACTTTACCCGTCTCTACGAAGCTACATGAAATACAAATAATTTGCGCTGTTGTTCTCGACAAGCTATCAAAGCTAAGCAGAAGAAAATCCCCAGGGTGCTACATTCGCCCATCTACGTTGAAAGAACGTGCAAGCACCCTAGGTGGCCCACTCCGCAACCTCTTCCAATACACCTTAGATGAACAAAAGCTCCCACGAAAGTGGAAACGGGCTATCCTTTCTCCCATCTTCAAAGGAGGAGACAGGCAGAATCCCAACTGTTATAGACCCATAGCACTTCGACCAGTAATATCAAAAGTTATGGAAATAGTCACGGACGACAGAATCAGGGAATATCTGAACAAGAAACAAGCACTCAGTGACACCCAACATGGCTTCCTGAATGGTAAGCCCTGTGCCTCCAACCTCTTGACGGCCAACGATCACTGGACAGCATACTGGGATCTCAAGGTCCCGGTCCACTCAATTTTTCTGGACTTCGCCAAAGCCTTTGACACCGTCTCACACACGATCCTAATGCATAAGATAGCTGGGTTAGGTATACTCAGTCAGGTGCTATCATGGCTACAGACCTACCTAGACAGTGGGAAGCTCTGCACGAAAGTCAACAGGGTTTGCTCAACTTGGAGAACATCCGCTTCCGGCGTCTTACAGGGGACAATCCGGGGTTCATTGTTGTTCCTACTGTTCGCAAATGACCTGCCGTTAGATATCAGCTCTCCGATTCTCCTATACACCGATGATGTCAAGTTATGGAGGGCGATAACTTGCTAAGCGGAATCCAGCACATTACAGAACTACGTCAAAACACTAGAGGAAGGGAGCACTAACAAGGAACTGGCATTTAACCTGGATAAATGCTGGTCCGTGTTTTTCCGCACTCCTGATCCCCAGAAAGTATCCTACTATCTCTGCCGCTCGTGTCCATCCCATAAAACAGTAGAAGAAGACCCGGGTTTAGCGGTGACGGAGAAACTGGACACCAGTTCCAATTACCCAGGTGATGCCTCAAAAGCATACGGTGTACCACATTTTGTGCCGGAACAACTTGGTGCCCTCGCACCAGAGCTCTTTCTGAAGCTCTGCAAGACTTACATAGGACCCCAATTAGAGGTCCATAACGTCTTCGCTCCACCACAACTGAAAAGTGGCGTTAGCCTACTGGAGAAAGTCCAGGGGTGAGCCAAGAACAGGGTTGTTGGGATGCAACGAAAACCATACAAGGATAGACTGAAAGACCTAGTCCAATACTCTCTTAGCTACCGAAGGTTACGAGGTGACTTGAAAATGGCCTGCAAAATACTGAACAACCCTAGTCACCCGAATAGAGGAATACTACCGAGTGGCCACTATAGAGATCCTCGAGGAAACCCTAAAAGAATAGCCCACCAAAGGTCAAAAACTCATGTGCGTTCACAGTTCTTCTTCCTCCGAGTCTGCGGGTACTTGAAAGCACTCACGGCAGGAATGGTCTCCGACCCAACTACTGAAAGTTTTAAGAAGAGGCTAGACAGTCAGACAGACCCACGGTCTACCCACATATAGCTGGAGGTTGGAGGAACCAAACAGAACTAAACAGAAGTCAACTGATATCAAGCCACCTCAACTAATTTAACTTTACAAACAGTTTTCTTTTTATTGTAACCATTTAAGTCCTTTTCATCCCTTCCACTTGCCATAAGTTGGCCTCACTTACCTAAGTTCTTCATACCTCTGCACCCCTCCTCGCGTTACCTAAGCGCAAGTAGGTCACTCCATTAGTCCACTTTTCTTCTCCCCTTTTGCTCGCAGACTCACCTTTCTAGGTTTTCTCTTCGCTATCCCTAACCCTCTCTAGTGACCACGCTGAACAACTGTCTGGCAACTCAACATCTGAAGAAGCCAACTGCATCACAGTCCAAGGCAAACAAACCAACACTTAACTTCCTGTTCTGTAAATCAGAGCTACAGCAGACGTGTGGCTGGATCTACTGCATCGGGATTCACCAAAGACCTGGAACCATTGCACAAGAACAAGAAGCGAGCAAGAAGAAATCAACTAGTTTACACAAGCTCATTAAAAAGATATTGGAAATCGGAAGTGCAATAGCACTACCAATAACAAGATGACGGAATTATATCTATCCTTCCAGGTTTTTCGAAAAAGCGATAAAATGACCACTGGAATTAAGAAAAGTAATCTATTAAGGTAGATACATAACCCAACAAATCATTGAACTATATTTCTACGACATGAAGTTCGAAGTTTAAAGCCTAACCTGTTCGTTGTCAAACGCCAAGGGTTTTATTTGACCTTGCCTTCGGGAGGTAAGTAAGCATTCACTGTTATTCGCTGTTTCATTTCCGTCCTCAGTATTACCTGACTATTCTTCTTGACATATATTACTACACAAGTTGGAAGAAATATCAATAGCAATATTACAAGTGGATTCATATTTTTTAAAAATACCTAACTGCAGACAGTGGACACAATATGACTAAACGTTGTTGCATCTCTTCGTTTGTTATCCTATGTACTTTCGCCCTATCTTGTGTTCTCGTTTACATTCTCTCCATGTATCAAAGTGAGCCTTATATGGACGAGGTGTTTCATGTACGGCAAACGTTGAAGTATATTCAAGGGGACTGGAAATCTTGGGATAGCAAGATCACCACACCTCCCGGTCTTTATCTTATATTTGTATCAGCCTTTAGGGTCTTAGACTGGCTGAATATAGCTCCAGCTAAGCTTATGATGATTAATTTTAGGTTTACAAGTGTTCTGTTCAGCCTATTCAATCACATGTTCATCCTAAGGTTACTCAAGTTAACTAAAAGTAACTTTCCCAACACTCTTGCGCTAGCTATCATTACAGAACCAGTTCTCTTCTTTTTTTCCGCTCTCTACTATACTGATCACTGTTCCGTCTTATTTGTCATTGCGTCTGTTTGCTTCAGTTTCCAGCATAAAACATGCTTAAGTGCATTGTTTTTATCATATGCGGTTTTCACACGCCAGTCTAATATTGTTTGGGTTCCGCTTCTCATGTGCATCCGCACATCCCTTAACTTTTCAAGAAGTCTATTCGCAAACCAACGGTGTTCTTCTCCGTTTTGGGTGAAAAAAGTACTAAACGAGATTACCTCACATCCAGTGTCTGTCGCGTTCCTGGTATTCGAAAATGTCTTCAGACTGTGTTTGCCATTTGTCTTAGTTCTAATCTCGTTTTTAATCTTTGTTGTCTTTAATAAAGGTATTGTTTTAGGTGACAGAGAGGCACATAAGGCGGTGTTGAATGTCCCACAGTTTTTCTATTTCACGACCTTTTGTGCACTTTCACCCCTGTCCAGTTTTCAGAGTTCCTTATCACCTGTTTAAAAAAGTTGTCTAACCTGTTTACTAAACGCTGTTGGAAGTATTTGGCAAAGGTTTCACTGGTCACTTTCTTTTTCGTATTGGTTATAGGGATATCGTTGAAGTATTGCTTCTTCGTCCACCCCTATTTAATCTCCGATAACAGACACTATACGTTTTATATCTGGCGCAGGGTCATATACCGTTCCTTATTCGTTTATTATGCTTTGTCCGTCGCTTATTTAGTCACAACTGCCTACTATTTGAAAAATTTGTTTTGTACTTCTCGACATGTACCATTCAACTTTTTCGTAGAACGTTTGGCTCTCGTATGTTGCACTTTCATCGTTGTGATTTCGTCGGGATTACTTGAACTGCGCTACTTTTTGATTCCATTTATTTTATGGCGTATTTTTTCCGCTAATGACACAAGTCACTGGTGTTTATATTATGAAGTTTTGTGGAATTTTTCTATCACTTGTGTGACGGTATACATCTTTACTTCTAAGCCTTTCGAATGGTCAAATGCACCTGGTGTTTATCAAAGATTTATGTGGTGATTTTAATTTTCAACAGGTTTTGAGCATGTTTTTTTGATACCCTTTAAAGCTAATATTTTTTTATAATTAGGTTTTGCATTTGTTGCATTCTCTTTTGATGTTAACTTTTATTGGTATGTTGTACTTATTTAATTGTTGCATTCTTGGATTTCTATCTGTTAGTAATAACGTCCGGCTCAGGGGTCTCCGGACTGATAGCTACTTCTCTGACTTCTTGGTTGGGTTTGCATGTCGCAATGATTTGAAAAGCTATGCTGGCTTGAATGATTGTTCTCTTAGTTCCTACCCCCTGGCCGAAAATGTTTGGTTTTATAGGGATAAGACCAAAAGTAACTGCATCTGTAGAATCAATATTTCTGTTATGTTAGGGTTCAAGGACGATGTATGAGTTATGTTGACAGTAAGGTGTTTCTTGCGGATGAGAAGCATTCCATGTTAATGCTTTCTTGTTTAAAGGGAGAGATAATAGGGCGATACTGTAAAAGCATACCCATTTCTGCCCTGTAGTATACTAGCGCCGGTGGTAGCACAATGAAATCTAAAACTGTTAGAGTCTGTCACTAACCTTATGTAGATGTTCATTGAGCTCTACAGTGACGAACTATTATAACTAATCCATCTTCTTCAAGCGCCATACAGAAACAATCTTCACGATGTAAGCAGCTGGGAACTACAAACCGTTTGTCCACTTTCAGGAGTATGCAAAACCTAATCAAGCATAACCTACCTTCCTAACCCTTGTCTCCTTCCTTGCCTTAACTTCCTGATACCAACATTAAACCCTTGACAGCTTTCTCAACTCATTCCGGGACTAAAATTAAAGTTATAAGTTAAAAAAAACATAATTTTATTCTCATGAAATCAAGCTGACAATTTCATACTAGAGTTCTCAACGTTCGACCGCTGTTATATGAGTAAAACTTGAGCACTGTGGTAGATTGTAATTCCGCTTATTAGAAATGCCACAGTGAAACACTATCATTTACTGGATAACGCTTCGGATATAATTTGTTGTCCATATTCATATTATGTGGTATGAATATGGGAAATAAATTACGCCCGAAACATTATCCAGTAAGTTATACTGTTTCACTGTGTGACATTTCTAATAAACGGACTAAAATGGAATCCGGACGCTATGCCGAATCAAATAAAAGTTTTCACTTATCAAAACTCTGGGATCTTGTGTTATGGGTGAATGCTGTGCTTCTAAAAAACTCATAAAAGACCAATCCAGTCATTCGTTTGACTTCGCCTGGTCGGTATGGTGGACTTGTAAAATACGGAGGACAAACGGCATAAAAATCAACATTAAACCAGGTATAACTGCGTAATGCTCCAAATTGCCACAAATCATCAGGACATCAAGTAATAAAGCAATTAGATGAAAAATATAAATCGAGAAGAATCAACCAAAATCAATAGAAAGCAGTAAAGGAGAACAATGATAAATGAATTCATCATGATGATTAAAAGGAAGATGTTATGTAGATACACATGCACCACTGAGATCAATTCTGAGTCATATCACCCAGTCTCAAACCATTGGTTTCTGTTGTCACACGGACTGTAACCGGGAAGTCTATATTCTCCTACACGGCTTAGAACGGCAGTCACAGATTTCATGCATTGGTGCCATGTTACAGTCTAGCTCTCCCAAGCCTTTTCCCCAACCAAACCTACTTCAGCTAACATTGTGCGACGAGGCAAACAGTGACTAGGTATGCGTAACACATGTCGCAGCCACCTGAGTCGATGAAGGTTCACAGCCTCAACGACCGACTTTTCTTTTCCCCCTACAACTCTACAACTGATAACGTTACTGACGCGGTAACACCACGCCACATGGCCTATTCTACAAAGGCAACAGTGGTCAAACACCTGAAGCCTTCTGATATTTTCTACCTTTAATGGCTATGTTTCGCAACCATACGGTACAAAAGAGTAAACTGCAGCGCGGTACGCTTGACCCTTAGTGGGCAACCGGATTTCACAGCAGCCCTATAAATGGCATAAGTTGGAGAAAGCCAATCGAATCTTTGGCACCTGTGCATAGATTTCATCAGTCACTGACCCACTGGGGCTAATCCCAGTGATCGACGCGCCCAACCACCTCACCACTGAGGACGTCCTGGGGCAACACTGCATTTTGGTGACAAGAAACGTATCCCAAACATTCTCGAATTGTCACTCAAGGTGTCCATAAGACTCTATATCATGTCAGCATCTTCAACTAACAGGACTATGTTATCTGCATATTATAGGTCAGCAAGCATTTTTCTGTGATAAGATCAATCCCGTGAAGTTTGACGACAAGACCTCCATAAGTTCGTCTGTGATACAAGTGAATAAAAACAGAGATAGTTGACATCCTCGACGGACACGACTCCACGTGGAAAACTCACCATTGGCTGTAAAACACCCACATGTGTTTGAATACAGAGACTGCAAGAATGGTGTACTTACACATTATCCCCTTCAGTGAGAGGCATTGCCATAAAACCTCTCGGCCGACGGAGCCAAATGCTGCTTTCACTTTAAGGAACACAGCTAGCGTCGAAAGTTGATAAGTGTGTCTTTGTCCCAGAACCTGGCGGAGCGTGAATATCTGTTCGATACACCCACGGTCAAGTCTGAAACCTGCTTGATTTTTCCGCGTTCGCCATTCCCAGGCCCCACTTAGACACTATAATATTAATCAGGCCAGTTCCTCAATAGTTATCGCAAGAAGACCTTTCTCCTCTAGTGAAGCCTGGGACAATCAAACAGTGATTGAGACCAGTAAAAGGAGATCATATCTGACTCCATATACTAGCTGATTAACCCGACTAGTAGTCCTCTACCAACTTCCTTATATTCCTCTGGTACTAGTCTACCGGACACTACTTCATTTTCTTGTTGTAGATTGCCTACAGCTTTCTTGACTTGTGTAAGTGTTGGGGTTTCTAACTTGATGTTCCATACAGGATCTAACAGTGTAGTGGACAACGGAATAGTAGCTGAAGGTCAGTTGGACTGTTCTGCTCATCGTACCAGTCATCTCGCGTGCGACCGAATCCTTCCTCTCTATAGTCGCACTAACCACTGACTTATTTGCCCAGTCTCCTTGGTAATTGTAAATAACTGTTCACTACTACCTATCGCTGCTGCATCTCATCAGTACGTCACTAATGTGAAAGTCAGTTATAGAGTTGTAGGGAGAAAAGAAAAGTCGGTCGTTGAGGCTGTGAACCTTCATCGACTCAGGTGGCTGCGACATGTGTTACGCATACCTAGTCACTGTTTGCCTCGTCGCACAATGTTAGCTGAAGTAGGTTTGGTTGGGGAAAAGGCTTGGGAGAGCTAGACTGTAACATGGCACCAATGCATGAAATCTGTGACTGCCGTTCTAAGCCGTGTAGGAGAATATAGAC